GGAGTAATGTCGTCTTCCTGGTACTTTATGTATATGACATATTTTTAATAGGAAATGACATCCCCATATTACAAATAACGAAAGAGTGGCTTTCAAAAGGCTACATCATGAAGGATATGGGAGAAGCAGCCTTTATACTTGGTATAAAGATCTATAGAGATAGATCCAATAAGCTGCTGGGTTTATCTCAATCCACGTATGTTGACAAGATGCTAAAGAGAATTAGCATGGAAGGGTCGAAAAAGGGGTTTTCTTCCCGTCAGTCATGGGGTACATCTTTCAAAGGCTATGTGTCCTAAGTCACAGTCTGAGAAGGATCGCATGAGTGGAATTCCATACGCTTCGGCTATTAGATTCATCATGTATGTCATGATATGTACGAGACCAGATGTCTCATATGCTTTAAGCATTACGAGCAGATACCAGTCTGACCCTGGAGAGGGTCACTGGACAGGAGTCAAGACTATCCTTAAGTACTTAAGAAGAACTAAGGATACATTTCTGGTCTATGGTGGGGTTGATGAGCTTTCAGTGAAAGGGTTCACTAATGCCAGCTTTCAGAGTCACAATCAGTGTTCGTGTTCACCTTAAATGGTGGGACAGTATCTTGGAAGAGTTCCAAGCAGGAGACAACAGCAGATTCAACGACAGAAGCTGAATACATAGCTGCTTCAGAAGCGGCTAAGGAGGTCGTGTGGATCAAGAAGTTCATATCTGAACTAAGGGTGGTTCCAAGTGTAGATGAGCCCATACAGTTTCTTTACGAAAGCACTGGAGCCATTGCGCAGTCAAAGGAACCTAGGTCTCATCAAAGATCTAAACACGTGCTCCGCAGATATCACCTGATTAGAGTAATCATTGATAGGATAGATGTAAAGATGGATTATGTTCCCACAGATGATAACCTAGCCAATTCTCTTACAAAGGTTGTTTCTCAGAGAAAACATGATAGTCATTATGAGGCTTTGGGTATACAACTTAGGTCTGATTGGCTCTAGGCCAAGTGGGAGCTTGTTAGTATATGGATGTCTTAGAGACAATCTTTTGATTAGATTAGGACATAAGTGGATCTTTGTATTGTCGCAAATAAATAAAAGCATTCTTTATCCTGTTTCATATTTTGTCTCGATATTACTGTTAATATTATATATGAGTAACTGGATAAACCCTTTGGAATAAAATAGGTATCTCTTGAGTATCTGTGATAAGATCACGATAATGAGGATTCAAGGATACTGGATGTTTATTCTTAATTTTATGTTCCTAGTCTAGAGACACTGAGAATGGGGATCAGCGATCTCGGGTAAGACTAGCACGACTTATCTACTTGTATTCGGATACAAGGTAAAGACCTCATGAGCTACAGATATGGAGATGTCTTAGCTAAAGTCGTGGGTGGATCAATAAGGGTATAGCTCGCACTGAACAGACCCACAAAAGAGACTTTATGAGGAGATCTCACAGAGAGTATCATTAGAGTAGTCTCTTTATATTTGGGTATGTCTTTCCTTAGACCAGAAGTTATTGCTTAGACTGTGTTCTAGAAGGCATGCTTAGACTGTATACCTCGTCTTCCTGAAACATGGAGACTCATAGGTATATTGTTGGGCTTGTCCTGAAAGAGCACAGGGCTAGGGTGATAAGCTGAAGGAATTCGTCAAATCTCTGTGAGAGATTAGGTTATCTGTAAATCGGAGAAATCGGGATGACATTTACAGGGACTCGGGAATCTATGCATAGTAAAAGAGATCATGAGATGATCTGCCTTTAGAGTCAGTAAATTGAAGATTCCCTATTTCGAATAAAGCTTACCCTAAACCGCAAGGGTTGATACGTTTCCTTACCCTAGGTTTTATGGAAAGGTAACCGAGACGAAAGGAAATACATACAGCAACCAAATATGTGTAATAGGATGATCAAGTAATTAATCTAACTAGTTCTGGGGCAACAAAGCATTGCTAGTGCTCTGTGTTGTCATTAGATGGGTTGTGGACTTATTGGGCCCAAACCCATTTATGTCAGTGGCTATGTTGGACCTAATGGGTCACACGCTAACACCTAATTGTCTAGATGAACTAGCATTAAAGGTATTGGGCCTAATAATGGTCATTAGTCGAAGAAGTAGTTTGGAAGTCCACCTTGAGGGTGGAGGGCGCATGGATCACAGTAATGGGCTTGGATAGTCCAAGACACTACTAATTAATTTAATTGGTTAAATTAATTATCAAACATTTAAATTTTGAATTTTGAAATTTGGAATTTGAATTTTGAATTTTGAATTTTGAATTTGAATTTTGAAATTCGAATTTTGAATTTGAATTTTGAATTTGAATTTTGAATTTGAATGTTTGAAAGTTTGAATTTGAATGTTGGAATATTCGAATTTAAATATTTGAATTCAAATTTGAATTGGCTATGAAAAGTTGTTTCATAACAAAAGGATAAGATAAGATCTTGTTGGAACAAATCACTAGTATCAAGAGGAGATCTTTTGGACATGATCCAAGAAGATTGGGGCGCTGATTTTGGCTGTTGGTGAGTGTCATTTAGTCATCAAAATCAGCTCCAAAAGATACGGTATGTTGGGAGAATATTTGAGTGAGTTGATTCAAGTTTGAATGCAACTACTCAAACGTATCTGGACTCCTTTTGGGACTGAATGAGGTGCACAGTATGGGTGGTCATGTGATGACCATCAGGTCAGAATCTTGATTAGATAAAGACCTTATCTCATAAGGATTCAATGGAGAGGTTGTTGGGAGTTTTGAATTGCAACAACTCCTTTATCTCCTCATTTGTTGTGTGCCACTTTCATGGGATTTTGAAGTGAAAAATCTGATTTCACTTATTTATTCCCTCACTCTCTTGTGCAATATATAAGTGTGTTCCTCCTTAGGGTTTTTTGAGAAAAATACCTAGCCATTCTCTCCTCCTTCCATGCGCCACCTTGTGAGGTTTTCTCTCTGAAAACATCACTCTTCTAAACACATTTGTCTAGCCTCCTCTTTCATACATTGAGCGCATAACAAGCCTCATTGTGGTGATCAATTGGTGATTCTACAAGAAGGAGTTCTTGCATCTAGACGCGGGTAGTGTGGATAAACGTTAGAGGGTTTGAACCCTTCAGACCTAACCTTGATCATCCTGAAGTTTCACGAACAAGGTATAATATATATCTTAAAGGACATATCTTGATATGCATGTGTGTTCCGCTAGCGAAAAATTTGTTTTTTCCTATCACATGCCTCGACCTTCAAGGTCATTTTACTTTCATATCTGACATCTATCACATGATTCAACAAACTTCCTTGCATCCTTGTAGAGTGTTGGCCAATAGAAGCCACTCATCAGTACTTTTGGGGCTGCTCTTTCTCTCGCGAAGTGTCCACCGTAGCTTGAACCATGACAGTGCCACAAGATATCTTTCATTTCTTCTTCTGGAATGCACCTCCTTATTACTCCATCAGCACATCTCTAGAAAAGGAAGGGCTCATCCCATAGGTATTTCTTGACATCATGTAGAAACTTCTTTCTTTGTTGCCATGTGAATTCTACTGGCATTTCTCCTGCTGCTTTAAAGTTCACAAAATCTGCGAACCATGGAGGTGTGCTTGTGCTCTTCACTTCCTCCAGTTGCAGATCTGAGATGACATTTACAGCCAGAATTTTCTCATCGGGGAACTCTTCTCTGATCTTCATTTCTGGTCCATCTTGAAGATCTTTTTCTTGGATCCTGGATAGGTGATAAGCCACCAAGTTCTCCACGCCTTTCTTGTCTCTGATCTCTACTTCAAATTCTTGAAGGAGAAGCATCCATCTGAGTAATTGTGACTTTGCATCCTGCTTATTCAACAAATATTTAAAGCATCATGATCAGTATAAACAATTACTTTAGACCCCGGCAAATACGGTCTAAATTTATCAAATGCATAGACTACTGCTAGTAATTCTTTTTCAGTTGTAGCATAATTCATTTGTGCATCATTAAGAATTTTACTAGCATAGTAAATCACATGCAACAGTTTACCTTTTCTTTGTCCTAAGACAGCTCCGATGGCATAATCACTAGCATCACACATTAATTCAAAAGGTAAAGTGAAATATGGTACAGTGGTCAATCGATTTTTTAAAATATTAAATGCAACTAAACACTCATCCGTGAAGTTGAATTCCTCATCCTTGACCAGCAGCTTGCATAGTGGTTTTGCTATCTTGGAAAAGTCCTTGATAAAGTGCCTGTAAAAACCTGCATGACCGAGAAAACTTCGAATACCTTTAACATTAGAGGGAGGGGGAAGTTTCTCAATAACAGATATTTTCGCTCTATCAACTTCTATACCATTTTTAGACACCTTGTGTCCTAAAACAATGCCATCTTTTACCATAAAGTGGCATTTTTTCCAATTTAAAACAAGATTACTCTCTTGACACCTTTGTAAAACACATGATAGATTTTCTAAGCAAGTGTCAAAAGAAGGACCAAAAATAGAAAAATCATCCATGAAGATCTCAATGGATTTTTCAATCATATCAGAAAAGATATAAAGCATACACCTTTGAAAAGTTGCCAGAGCTTTGCATAGACCGAAGGGCATCCTCCGGTAAGCGAAGACTCCGTAAGGGCATGTGAATGTTGTCATCTCTTGATCTTCTGGCGCTACTACTATTTGGTTGTAACCCGAGTACCCGTCCAGGAAGCAGTAGAAACCATGGCCAGCTAGTCTCTCCAACATCTGGTCCAAGAAAGGAATTGGGAAGTGGTCTTTCTGAGTGGCTGCATTAAGTCTTCTATAGTCAACACACATCCTCCACCCGGTGACTGTCCTTGTTGGAATCAACTCATTGTTCTCATTTCTTACCACGATGACTCCACATTTCTTGGGTACAGTTTGTACAGGACTTACCCATGCACTATCAGATATAGGGTAGATCATCCCTGCATCCAATAGTTTAACTACCTTTTTCCTTACCACCTCTTTCATGGTGGGATTAAGTCTCCTTTACGGCTGCCTTACAGGTTTAATATCATCTTCCATTAGAATTTTATGAGTACAAAAGGAAGGATTTATACCTTTTAAGTCGGAGAATGACCATCCTATTGCAGCTTTGTGTTTTTTCAGCACCTTTAGAAGCTTTTCTTCTTCCATGGTTGACAACTCGACACTGATGATGACTGGGTAAGTCTTGTTGTTACCAAGGAAAGCATATTTCATATTTGGAGGTAACTCCTTAAGCTCCACCTTCGGTGCTCCAAGAGGGATGTCATCTTTCTTTCTTTTTAGTTCTTCCACCACTGGTTCTTTATCAGAAAATTCAGCTTCTTCGTTGATTTGTTCTAACTCGAGTGGGGAACTCTCCTCTTTCATCGTGTCATCAACTGCTTCTTGTATAATGTCAACCATGAAACAGTCTCCTCCATCTGACGGATGTTTCATTGACTCGAAGACATCAATGGTGATTGTTTCTTCGTTCATCCTCAACATCAGTTTCCCTTGCTTGACATCGATCATTGCTCTTGCAGTGGCTAGGAATGGCCTTCCAAGCAATAGGGGAATCTCGGCATCTTCTTCCATATTCAGAATTACAAAATCTGCAGGGAAGATAAATTTGTCAATTTTAACTAAAACATCCTCAATTACCCCATCTAGTCGTCTTATCGATCTATCAGCCAACTGGAGAGAAACCGTAGTTGGCTTTAGTTCTTTAATTCCAAGAGCTCTGCACATGGACAGTGGCATCAGATTTATACTCGCTCCCAGATCATATAATGCTTTTCCTACTTCAATATTTCCTATAGCTATAGGAATACTGAAGCTGCCAGGATCTTTCAGCTTGGGAGGGAGTTTCTTCTGGATGATTGCACTGCATTCCTCAGTCAGGGCCACTGTTTCACACTCCTTCATCTAGCGCTTCTTTGATAGAAGGTCTTTCATGAATTTCGCATAATTGGGCATGTTTTCCAGGGCCTCTGTGAACGAAATGTTAACTTACAGCTTCTTGAAGATGTCCATAAATTTGGTGTATTGTATTTCTGGATCTCTTGTTTCAACCTCTGAGGGTATGGAACCCGTGCATAGGGAGACGGATCTGCCGGCTTCGGTTGCCTCTCCAAAGCATTATTTTTCTCCTATTTGAACAACTTCTTCTCTGGGCTTCTCTTTTCAGTTTCTCCTGCATCTTCTTCTTTTTCTTTTTCAGGTTCAGGTTCAGCTTCTTTCTTCTTCTCAACTTGCGGCTTTATCACAGGTTGGATCACGATCCCACTTCTGGTGGCAATTGAATTACATTGTGCATTTGGGTTCGTGTCGGTGTTACTTGGAAAGGTGCCCTGTGTTCTTTCTACAAACTTTCTTGACAACTGGCCAATCTGAGTTTCCAGATTCCGGATAAAAGCTTCTTGATTCCGGAATGAAGCTCTTGTTTCATATCTAAAGGCATTTGCATTCTGAATGTAGTCCGAGGTAGTCTTAGATAGCTGCGCAAAAGCCTTCTCCCACTCTGAAGTGTTACCTTGTGGTGGGGGTTATTGTTGCAATGGCAGAGGAGGGTTCAGCTGATGGTTTGATTTGTAACTAAACCCAGGGTGTTGGTTAGGATTTTTCCACCCTTGATTATAGTTATTACCATATTGGTTTCTTCCTGGGTTGTTCTAGTTCTTTTGATCGTACCAGATTCCATTGACCTTCGCTGGTGGCTTTTCAATTGTTCTCATGTAGTCACAATCTTCAGTTGCTTGAGCATCTGCACAAATACCACAAACAATTTAAGAATTACTAACAGAAGAAACTTGAGAATTATTAAATTTCTTTGTAAGAGCATCAAGTTGTGCTTGTTGCTTCTTGTGAAATTGTAGCATTTGTTCATTTCGGGCTAAGATTGCATAGCCGTCGAGCTTCATAATTCCTGCTCTCCTTTGTGTGACTAGAGCAATTGTCATACTCCTGAGAAACTAAGGATTCCAACAATCCAATGCTTCCTCTCGAGTTTTTATTTTTAATGAGCCTCCTGCGGCAGCATTCACCAGTGTTCTTGTGCTTGGCGTCATCTCTTGGAAGATGATTCTTCCTTTCTCCCATGCTTCAATGCCATGTTGAGGAAACTTCTGGAGTAATCCTTTGAATCTTTCCCAACCCTCGTACAAGGATTCACTTTCTTTTTTATTTGAAAGCAGTGATTTCTGATTTGAGCCTTGCCATCTTTGAAGCTGAGAAGAATCTGGCCAAGAACTTCATTGCTAAGTCATCCTAGTTGGTGATGCTTCCTTCAGGTAGTGACTGAAGCCAAGCTTTTGCGTCATCCTTTAGTGAACATGGAAATAATCTGAGCAAGATGGCGTCACGAGAGACTCCATTCATCTTTAATGTATCACAGTAAAGCAAGTTATCAAGATGAATATAGGGGTCCTCCGTGCTTCCTCCAGTGAACTGATCTTTTTGATTCAGTTGCAACAATGATGGCTTAAGTTCGAAGTTGTTAGCATCCACGGCTGGTCTAACAATGCTCACCGTCTGCGGAACTCGAGCTGGAGTCATATAATCTCCCAACGTCCTCGGAGCGAGTTGATTGTTCTCTGCCATCGATTCCTCCTTTGGTTTCGTCGAACTTGATGCTTCTTTCTCTTCTTTTGCGCTTTTCCTGAGTTTCCTTTCTGTCATTTCTATCTCAGGATCAAACTGCAAGATTCGCAGGTTAAGAGTACCTCGTATAAACTAAGATTGAAACGATGTGCAGAAAAAATAAAAAATGCAAAAACAGAAAACTGAAAAATAAAAAACAATAAAAGAATGCAGAAAATCAATGAATATAAAATATGCAGAAAATTGATGCAGAATTTTAATGTAGAAAATGTTTTTTTTTTTTAGTATGTTTAAAGTGCAGAAAATTAAAACGATCAATCTAAAAGGTAATTAGTTACTTCTAAAGCTGAAAGTATCGATCCCCGGCAACGGCGCCAAAAACTTGTTGCGACTCGGCAAGTGCACCGATCGTAAAGTAATAAAGTGTACAGGAGTACAAGATCGTTCCCACGAGGATCGAATTTTCAAGCACTAGTTCGCTAATCGCGTTTTAGTTGGACAATCCAGAATTGGATTTGAGAGAATTGAATTTAAAAACAAACAATAACATGCAATTAAAAATTCAGAATTAAAAAGACAATTGAAAAGATGATTGATTAAAGAATTTAAAAAGCGTAGTTAAGTTTTCGACTTCCCCCAATATCCTCTATATGCAATGAATTAAATTGTAACGTCATGCAACATGCAAGGATCAACAACTATCCCGACACACTAACACGAGACTTTTCAGCGTGCTTTGTCCTCACTCGGACACTTTTCGGGAAAACTTTCCAGGAGGTCACCCATCCTAGAATTTTCCCAAGTCAAGCACGGTTAACTATGGAGTTCTTCCGTTCCTAGCTACCGCAAAGTAGATGCATCTTGTTAGTATAGGTAGTACCAATTAATTCTTATAAGTCATTCCCAACTGTACCGTTCCACACCAGCACTATCTCTGGAATCCCTATCTTTCGGGTGTTGATTCAATTCATTCATGTACCCCCGTCACTGGAAACCTGCCAGGAGCCGCTCCTTGTCCGTGCCCTTTCGCACCGACAATCTGTAACACCCTCCCTTGTATGCATCCAAGAGAGTTGTTTGCTAAGCGGATTAGAGTTCTTTAATCATATTTTAGAGACTGAAAATCACTTTTACAATGCCACTTAAAAACTTATAATTGAAATCGGGTTTGTCACAAAAATCAGAGTATACTTTCCAAATTTCTCAACTACTGAAAATATAACTTCGCTGGCAGACCTTGCTGTCTTTAAAAATTCGTATAAAATTCACTTCAACGATTCAAAAAAATATTCTTTGTAATATAGAAACTAGACATCCGGGGCTTCGCGTTCATATAAAATAATAGTAATTTGAAGGTCGTTTTCCCCTCGAAACATAACTCGTAAGGCGAGAGTTAAAATCAGTGAATTTATATAAAACGGCCTGACTTGTAAAAATCATAATAAATCGAGCTTTCAAAATTTCTTTGAAAGGTTTATATATAATGAAACTAGACACCTGGGGCTACGCGTGCATATAAATTATAAGAAAATCAGAGGTCCGTAGCACCGGGACGCCAACCTACAAAATGCTCGCACAAACAGTTTTAACTTAGCTTTCAAAACGTCATGAATCAGTTTTCGTAAAAACGGTTCTGAAATTCGTTTCAAAACACTTGCTGTTCTTAAAAGTCTTAAAACAGAATGCAAACATACTTCACTAATAATTTAAACATCCACAATTAGTACAGTCATCCATGAAAATAATACAATCACGGCAGCATGCCCAATAGTAGAAACCAACAGCAAATATCCAAGTCCTCAAAAGCTTTTACGTCCTCCTGCCATTTTATAAAAATAGCAGCCCCAAAGGGGTGAGAAAAATCCCAGTAGTGTGGCAACAAAACCAATAATGCAACAGTATTAAACTAGGCACAAAATTATAAACAGTCGTTTCAAACATGAAATCATTTTCATCATATAACCTTTTCGTCATATATCATATTGCGTATATAACGCCTTCATCACGCTCATAGCACCGTCGTGCGCGTGCATACACAGTGGGAATTCCATGCAACAGCACCCTCATTTATTGAATCCCACTGTGACCTATGCGGACGGATGCCAAGTGACCCATACCCTGGTACCGAGGGATGCCTATATGATGCGTGCTCAATCACATGACCCTGTAGATAACTATTCTAGACTTCAAAGCTTACATGACTTAGGTGTATAAATGCCATGAAATGCGGTCACACACCAAACAGAAAAATGGATCATGATGTAAAAATGCATGCACATATCATTATCATCATTTCATATTCTTACCATTGCCATATCATCATCATAAAATAACATTGAACATATGTGAGCAACACATCACAATTTCATACACTAGCTAATAGTCACAATAGGTAATACCGCCTAACACATTCCTCGCGTCTTTAACATTTATAATCCAAACATCACCAATCAGCTCACTCTTTTAGAGATTAGCACACCTAACAAACATATGTATCAAGTCAGAATTCATCACAAATATTTCCTATACATTACCTAGCTTCCCCATTCTCCTAAATCCTTTATTTGTGATCGGTTTCCAGGTCCATATGCTAAGCGAATTTTCTGCCATTAAATTAATTTAATTATTTTAACTTTGAGCTTATTTTTACCAATAAATAATAGGTAGCATAGTTAGGATCTTTCATGCATGTAGTTCGGTTTCATGCTTCCTATACTAAGTATATTTCTACCTTAAGTTTGTCCTACCAATAGCTGTCAAGTAACAAAACATTCCAATTACCTATACATGCATATACGGTTTTGGCCAACAATTAGAGTGCTATAAATTATCATTCACATATAAACTCCTGCAAGGTGTAGGGTGCGCTAAAGGGCTTAAAGCATATTGCCTATGTAGATTATTAACATATGCAAGGCTTGACAAAACCTTGGTTCAAGGGATGGTCCATAATATCACTAAGGGCTATTTTTCCAAACCCTCAATTCGGTTTTTTGTGCTTACAAGCACCAGGTTCAATTGCTATTTAGTTGGGCAGAAATAAGAAAGAGGAATTTAAGGTTTAACGTCTCTCAATTTCAAGGCTGTCCAAACAGAATTTAAAACATGCAGTGTTGTGTGATTATCTTTCTAATAAAAGGGCAGTCCAACAATTTTAAGTGGCTAAATCCTAGTTCACAAAATTTCCGATTGGGATCAACATGTACCACTCCTAGGACAATTTATGGAACAGAATCAATGAGGTAAAGTGGAGTTTTAGGTTTGACCTTTAGCATACAAAACGTTCATAATATTTATTTAATTACATATCCATTCCATCAAAGTCTAGGTTGCGCTAGGAGGAGCTTATAAGCATTCTGTACCTTTAAATTTGATACTTGTAAAGCTAGGGGCCTCTATCTAATCTCACAAAAACAGTCTACAAAAATCAGAGTGGGGTCATTTCTATTATCGCCAAATTAAATATTAAAGCTTTCAAGCATCTCTTCCATGGCTGTACGGCTGGACAGAACAGTAAGGGGAGAAAGGCACAAATAAAAATAAGACTCCTAGATCACAATTGCAAGCCGAAACAGAGATGATGAAGAGTAGAGTTTGGCGTATGGATTTTTACCTCTTGCATGCATCCACAACCCCCAATTCTGCCGATTGAGGTTTACCATAAGTTGGTGTGTACACTCTCAACCTCCCTATACTCCAAGTCTCAGTTCTCTTTTTTTTTAACTGCATGCAAGGAGCGAAAGTTTAGATAGAACTGTATCATGAGACAAGGTACATGGGGACTCCGAAAATGTCTCACCTTTTCCTATTTGAGGTTGACAGCGTACCCAAGGGAAGGAATACAGGTTTGACACACAATAATTTCCACCGAAACAGTCCCACAACTTCACAAGGGTGCTACGGTCCAAGCACAAAAATTGAGTCCTAACTGGTATGTGTCACTGGCCTACACTCTTCAGCTGATCCAAGGAAAGAAACCATAAGAATGTCAACATAAGAACCCTTAGCCTGCACACAGCGGCTAAGACAGAGAGAAGAAGAGGACTTGAGATTTAGCTGCTACCTCTTTGTGCACACCAAAGTGCTCACAACCGGTCCAAGGTATCGACCAAAAGAGGATACTCTCACCCTCCTCCTTGCAAGAATTCGAGCTACCCATCTGCATGCAAGGGAAGATGAAACTCAATCAAGGTTGGACCACTTTCATTCAGTGGAAAAACACACTTAGAATCGTTCCAAGCAAGAGGGAACTAAAAGAAAGCAAGGAATACTTCCCCTCCTAAGATAATTCCTCGGCCAAGCTAGAGAAAAATGAGGAATGAATTGAGATGATGATCTCCTCCGTAGTTGCTCTAGGACTGAGTCAGAATGAGAGTGAATGGGAATTTAGCTGATTGAAGATTACGGTTTTGCAGGGACATGAAGTGAGAACGATTCAAACTTATTACTCCTCTATTTCTCTTCTTTTATTTTCGGCGGTGGAGGGTGTAGAAGAAGGCTGAGTTCGGTTTCAGAATTAAGAGGAAGATAGACAATTTGTGTTCTTCTTGGTTCAGCCATTCCACGCCTAAGAGGGAAATAGGGGTTACCTTTGGTTCAGAATAAGGGGGTGCAACAATGGACTGATGTCCTCCTCAAGGTTATGTGCACATGTGAAGAGATAAGGTGGGTGTGATTTGCCTTGGACCAATGGAATTTCATGTAGGCAGATTTCACTTGGCCACTTGTCATAATGTTTAAAGAAATTTTAGGCTGGACTTGGTTCTCCAAGGGCTTGGGCCGTACCTTATGAGTGTAGGTGAGGGTCCAATTTCCTCTCCTTATGACCCTTAGCTTATATATTTTTATTACTCTCAATTCTTCTAAGTATTAATATAATCTTTTATAGGTTACATTAAATTAATCTAATTCTTTTAACTAGAGGTTTTAATTTCTTAAAACATATATATACATATGCACTCACGTATCCATACAAATCAATTAATCTTCCTAACGTAAATAAATTCTACTCTAAACCTAAGTTTTATTCAAATTTCAAGCTTGCTACACCTTCTTAATTATAATTTATAGATGTCCCTAATTATGCGGTATGTTACACAATCACTCCTCGCCCTCGTCAGCGCCCGGGATGTTACATGTCCACCAGCTTCCACCTGTTTCGTCCTCGAACCACACCACACTGGAAGAGAGGCCCTGCTCTGATACCACTTATAACGTCTGGCAACTTGCAAGTATCAACGACTGTCCCGACACACTAACATGAGACTTTTCAGCATGCTTTGTCCTCACTCGCACACTTTCCGGGAAAACTTCCCAGGAGGTCGCCCATCCAAGAATTTTCCCAAGTCAAGCATGCTTAACTATGGAGTTCTTCCGTTCTGGGCTACCGCAAAGTAGATGCATCTTGTAAGTATAGGTAGTACCAATTAATTCTTATAAGTCATTCCCAACTGTACCATTCCATACCAGCACTGTCTCAAGAATCCCTATCTTTCGGGTGTTGATTCGATTCATTCATGTACCCCCGTCGCTGGAAGCCTGCCAGGAGCCATTCCTTGTCCGTGCCCTTTCGCACCGGCGATCACACCCCTCCCTCGTCAGCGCCCGGGATGTTACATAAATTGTCAAGAATTTGTTCTTAATATAATGCGAATCAATTCTTTCTAAGTTAATTAAGGCTTAATTCCTTGTTACCCTAAATCTAGGTGATCTTGAAAGAACTCTAGTTCTCCGATTATTCCCCAAGAAAATATGCATTAAGATCAAGAATTCAAAGATTGCACAATTACCCTATGTCTATCCCTAGATCACAAGGATTGTGATAAATTTATCAAATCAGGGTTCATACACCAACATCCCTATTGTCATACAATTCCCCTCAATCAATCTATAAGGAGCATACTCAAAGAAAGTATTAAAGACAGATAAATTTATTCAATTATAAAAAGAAAATAATTCAGAGACAATTTAATTCAAGACATAAATATTCAATTGGGTTCCATCTACCCTTAACTACATAAAAACTTAGCCTAGCATACTGAATTGAAAAACAATAACAAAGAAAAGAGAACCCCAAGCCTCCATTGGTGTGATGTTGACTTACATGCTTGAAATCTTGCTTCTTTAAAGCTTCAACTCTTCTTGTTGCATTTCTTTGATCCCAAAAAGCCATAATGGATGTAAAAAATCCCTTGAAATAAGAATTATGACAACATGTTAGCAAGATATTCAATTCTTGTGAATTTATGGTGTAAAACCCTAATTTCCATGCAATTCATGATGTATTTCAAGTATACTTAGACCTAATATTATGGTAAACCAAGGGTTTATCAGGGTACTTAATATATTGTTGTGATTTTGTTGGCAGCAGAAAGAATGATGTGTTGTGATGAATCTAATAACAGATTAAAGAATGGTGTATAAATATAGTACACTAATATAAAAGGTTGTGATTTGGAATAAGAGTACTCATATATATATATGTATATATATATATATATAATATAATATAATATAAAGAATTCCAGTACGAGGCCATTTAATAATTTGATCGTACAAGTTGAGCGTTTCCGTAAAAAGGATAGTTGTGGCGGAATTACTGAGAATAAATATTACTGTGAAACTATCTAATTTTCAGTTGGTTCTGGTTACTCTATAAAACAGAGATATATATAATATTTTGATATATTTTGATGATTGTGAATTTGGTATATTCTGATAATTCTAGTTAATTTGATTAGTGTAAAGTACTAATCTTCTTGGTTATGAGAATTGAGTGTTGTGGATAATTCTGATAGGAATTTCTTCTTTCTGAACTAAAGTTTGAATTGTGAAAGAGGTATGTTCTAGTTGATCATAATTGTTGGAATGAAATTACGAAATTTGTGTTGTGAAATATCTATTTGTGAAGTAAAGTAATAGAATTATAACTTATAAAGTGATGTGGGATAAATGAAAGGTAAGAATGAGGTGAAAATACTTAATTGTATTATTTGAAAATATATGGTGTTGTTTGTATTTGGGAATTTAACATGTAATGCATGAACTGAACTCGCGGGTGGAGACTTCTCCATAAACCCCGAGCTTATTGAGTTTATCTCACCCCGCGTTATGAGGATATATTTCAGGTACTTCTAGAGTTGAAGATAAGGATAAGGGTAAGTGGTCAGTGGAAGAAGACTAGAGTTATACTTGGAGCTGCTAATGAACAGTTGCATGTTTTGTGAAATCTTTGTATATATGTTTTGATATGATAACTAGTGGAGATAATGTTTTGAAAGGCCTAAGTTGCCAGTGTTAATGTTTTGTAAAGAATAACGAATATATGTAAATATTGTATAGTAGTTTATGTAAAAGGCACGAAGCCATCTTTGTGATATAGCTCGAATGGAATGAATATTGTGTTAATCACGTAATGTTAACCAAGTGAAATTTTGAAATTCCTAGTTGTTGGAAAAAATAATGGAGATGCTATCAAAATTTATAAGAAAATGTAAGTGTATTGTCATATCTCACTTAATTTGTTGTGAGATGGAACATGTTAGATGTCATTTTGAATCTTAGGATGTAAGCTTTAATATTCTAAAATATGAGACAACAAAGATAGAAAAATATGGTGCAGTTTGCTGTTGTGTTCGTTGCCCAGTTGTAGTGGAATTGACGGCAAATGTTGATTAACTTAGAAAATTCATAACTCATTTGTTTCTTATCGAAACAAGGCTTATAATATATCAAATTGAAGGTCCGGGTGTCAACTATAACATATCCAAAATAGAGAAAAAATAGATAAGTGTTTTTGCTACAATATGCAACTCTGTAAAATAGTACCGACTCGCTGTCGACGTATGTCGACAGTTTTGAGTAGTTATCTTACGGTAAACATGTCTGGAGATGTAGCAGTCCAAATTAAGCTTATGATACCTTTTTTTATTGGAATAATCTGGAGGTATCCTCATTCAACCTCCTCTGATCACCTTGTCCTCGGAGTACGGCCTTAAAGGCTAGCCCGTCATTGGAACAACGAGTGCATTGAGTTTCGCTACCGGAAGAAGGATGAGACTAATCCTCCATTCGAGGAGGGAGGCACATCCTTTGGCCCCCAAAGATTTTTCAAGAATTTGCTTGAGGCAGGGTTCGAACCCCTGACTCAAGCAAACCCTTGAGCTTATGTACTAGTGCAGCTTTTGTAAAACAGAACCTATATAAGGTGGTTATGTTGCTTAATAACGTATTGTTTCTTCGTTGGTTTATGGGAACCACTTAGCAATCGTTGTATATTTTTTGGGTGATATTTAAGCAGTAAAAGTTTATATTCTGCATTTGTTTTCGGTTATGATCATATTAAGAGAATTATTTTGAATTCGGTTGTTTTAAAATGAAAACATTGTTTATAAAAGTAAAAAACCCAAATTAATAAATAGAAAACCACTATTATGATTAGAAACATTCATAGTAAAGATCCTTATGATTTTGGTAAAAATACATCAAAACGACATAGTTTTATTAAAAATGACATAACTTTGTTACCTTATAATTATTACTAAAAATAATCTAACATTTTAAAATCATGAACAAAAACTTAAAAATCAAAATAAAACAAAAAGCACTCACTTAACTTTTAAATAAGGATCTTTATTATGAATTTTCTAATCATAACAGTAATTTTTTGCTTATTAATTTGAGTTTAAACGTTCTTATGGTATCATTATTATAAATTCAATTTTTTTTGTGAGAGACAAAATATGTCAAATGAGGTGTCATTACGTAGATCTCGAAAAGTTATGTGGAATCAAAATTTTGTTACCTAATTCGGAAACTCGAGTCAAAAGTTATGGACTTCCAAAGTTTTACGGTCAAACCGTTGACTTTTGTACCACGTGGCAGCACCTGATGAAACACGCCCCGAGGAGGCGTGTCTCTCTCATCGGTCACGCCCAAATGGGGCGTGTTTCTCTCCAACCGGTCACACCCCCGTGGAGCGTGTTTGACTGCTATATTTTCGTAATTAATTTTAAAATGACTACTTTTTCGTAATTTTTTTATTAAAAAAACAATAAATTAATTTTTTTCCCATATTTTTTATTCATGTTTATTATTCAAAATTGTCATGGATAATTGCCCTAATGACATGCCAATATTTACGTCCGGGTTAGCCAACCTACTTCTATTTGATTTCAATAACTATATACGTAATTTTGTTTAAACTAAGGTAAGTAAAACCTGAAAGTATAACACAATAACAAATATAGACTGTGGTTTCTTCTTCATCAATGCGCACAAGCATTAATGGATAATAATGTTTCTTCTTATGGAAAGCTTTAAAGTTATTATCTTGTTGCTGAAAAAATCATTGACTCAGAGGCTAACCGTGGGAAAACTAGACCAAGAGATCAATGACATGTGCTGCAACTCATGGTGTTGGTTCGAAAAGAACTTAGTGTTAGTATTTGGGTGTCCTAGAGACAATCTTATGATTAAATAAGGACATAGATGTAGACCTTTTTAATATTGTCGCAAATAAATAAAAGCACTCTTTATCTTGTTTCATAATTCTGTCTCGATATTAGTTAATATATTATGAATAACTTGATAAACCCCGTGGAATAAAATAGGTATCTCTTGCGTATC